TATTATTATTACTACGAGTATAATTATTATTATGATTATTATTATTATTATAACTATTATTATTATTATAATTATTATTATTATTGTTATGATTATTATTAATATTATTATAATATTATTATTATTATTATCGTTATTATTATTATAATTATTATTATTATTATGATTATTGTTATTATTATAATTAATATTATTATTATGATTATTATTATTATTATAACTATTATTATTATAATTATTATTATTATGATTATAATTATTATTATCATTATTATTATAATAAATATTATTATTATTATATCATTATTATTATTATTATTATTATAATTAGTATTATTATTATTATTATAATTATTATTATTGTTATTATTATAGGTATAAGGATAAACGTAGAATATACCGTCAAAAATTGAAATTGGAAAAAAGGAACTTTTACTCTGAAATGATACACCAGGCGGATAATAAAACTAAAGCAATCTGGAAGATAGTCGATAGCGAGAGAGGCATCAGGAAACAGAAACACACAAACGTCTCAAGTGATGAATTCAATAGTTTTTTCAGTACTATTTCTTGTAAAATTCTTGAGGGCATTGAAAAGCCTACTATTAATTACTTGTATCTCCTCAACCGTACTCCCAAGACACCCCATTCGTTCTTCATGTCTGCGATACTCCAAACAGATGTGAGATGTGCTATAGCTCAACTAAAAAACTCACCCTCACTCGACTTCTATGGTATGAACAGTGCTATGTTGAAAATAGCCAGTGAGGATTTCATTGAACCTTTAACAATACTATTTAATAAGTGTGTTAATGAAGGCGTGTGGCCTGATGCTTTTAAATTGTCAAAGGTCATTCCCATTCATAAGAAAGGGAATGAAGATAATCTCGATAACTATAGGCCAATCACAATAATTCCATTAATAAGTAAATTATTCGAAATTGTAATCAAAGAAAAATTAATAAAGTACTTTGAAAAGCACTCCCTCCTTTCAGCTTCCCAATTTGGTTTTCGAAAGCACTGTTCAACCATTAAAGCCATTCTTAGTTTTCTTGAGGATGCATTAGAGTGCATTGACAAGAGAACCACCGCTCTAGCAACTATGTGTGACTTAACCAAGGCTTTTGACTGTGTAGACGCAGTTATACTGCTTGACAAATTGGAGTACTATGGGATCCGTGGCAAGCCATCACAGCTTATGAGATCATACTTAGCTAATAGGAGACAGATGGTTAGCCTTGATGAAGTAGAATCCCAGGTTCTACCGATTACGAACGGGGTACCCCAGGGCTCTGTCTTGGGCCCTCTATTATTTTTAATCTACATCAATGACCTCCCACAAAATGTCAACAATAGCAAATGCTACCTTTTTGCAGACGACACTACTCTGCTCTCCAAGGCTACCCAACTTGACGAGGCCCACAGTCTCGACCAGGTTAAGTGGTGGTTCTCCGCAAACAAGCTCAAACTTAATGAAGCGAAAACCAGCAAGCTAAGAATAACATCAGACAAATGGAATGAGACTTCATCATCCGTAAAGTTATTAGGGATCGTTGTGGATAGCCGCTTGATCTGGTCGGAGCATGTGGACCAGGTTTGTACCAAGATTTCCAGACAGATGTTTATCATGCGGCAACTGGCTCAGTGTTTGCACAGACAAACCATGAGAACTGTATACTTTAGCCTCATTCATAGTCATCTGTCGTATGGTATCATCCTCTGGGGTAATTCTGTCAATGCCCAAAAAGCATTTACAATGCAAAAGGCTGCTATACGGATTGTAGCTGGCGTCTCCTACGATCATACGTGCCGCGGTTTGTTCAAAGAGATGCGCATACTGCCGTTAGCATGCCTGCTCATACATGAGACCCTTTTACATGTTCACGCAAACCTGAGTACTTTTTCGATAAGATCAGAGACACACAGCTATAATACAAGATACGCTAATGATATATCATTACCGGAATCTAGGATCGCCATGACACAACACAACAAGACTAATGTGTCGCTTTACAATAACTTTGTTAGATATCATAAGCGGTCCAATATTGAGAAGATGTCTAACAAACAGTTCTCTTGGTTTGTCAAAAACTATTTGTTAAGAAACTGCTTCTATACTGTAAGTGAATATTTAAGTGCATGTGATCCTAGTGATCAGTGATCGTGTGTAGAGCAAGAAGACAGACTCTGTATAAACTTTATCTAGTTTGTGACTTCAAACATATATCTCTATGTATAGGTGGTCAATAAATCGTATGGTATGGTATGGTATGGTATTATTATTATTACTATTATTATTATTATTATTATTATGATTGTTATATTTATTATTATTATTATAATTATTATTATTGTTATGATTATTATTATTATTATAACTATTATTTTTATTATAATTATTATTATTATTATTCTTATAATTATAATTATTATTATTATTATGATTATTATTAATATTATTATAATTATTATATTATTATAACTATTATTATTATTATTATTATGATTATTATTATTATTATAACTATTATTATTATTATTATAATTATTATTATTATAATTATAATTATTATTATTATGATTATTATTATTATTATAATATTATTATTTGTTTATTTTCCACAGCCCTATCTAATGAACTGGTTCTGTCCATGTGGGCCGGTTTTGGTTGGTCATTTCATTATGGTACTTCGAAGATGTTACCCACATCCTAACGAAATCCATTACCTTATAGTGTCTTACGTAATATGGTTGCTGTACCATACAAAGCAATCTCCTGCAGGTCTGCTGTCCTGTGCCTTCCTGGTATGAGATTTAGGTTTTCATGTAGATTGTCTGGGATCGTCCCTAATGCACCTAAAATTACGGGAACTATCTTCGTCCTCAGATCCACATTCTTGGATTTCAATTGAGAGATCTTTGTATTTCAATTTCTTTTCAGCTTCTTTGTTTACAACGTTTTCATCGTTGGGGACTGAAACATCTATTAGCAGGCAGGTTTTGTCACGTTGGTTTTGACGATTATGTCTGGGCGGTTCGCGGATATCTCACGATCTGTTTGTACTGGTAAGTCATATATTATGGTAATCTCATCTTTACTAACTACTGGAGTGGGGTTGTGATTATACCATTTTTCTTCCACTGCGATCCCAAAGCTTATACAGATGGCATGATGCAAGTATATGCATATTTTATTATGTCGGACCAAGTACTCGTGCTTCGCCAGTTGAGGACAGCCGGATATAAGATGATCTATTGTTTCTGAGTATTGTTTGCACATTCGACATCTATCATTTGCTGTTATTTTGAGGATATGTTTCTCATAATGCCTTGTACGTAAGGCCTGGTCTTGGGCGGCCGTTATCAGGGCCTCTGTTTCACCTTTACCTTCCCTCTCGTGAGCCACGCAAACGTTTGGCATTCATTAATCCCTGGGCCTCTTAATTCTCTTCACGTATTGACCATGAAGCTGCTTTTGTATCCATTTATCCTTCAAGGTCTTCCTTGTCATGGCCTTAATATCTGTAGACAGTAATTCTTCTTCATCCTCGACCGCTTGATTTTCTATTTCGGGTAAATGTGTCTTTACAATTTTTATCGCTGACTTGACTACTGACTTTCCAACTCGAGGGTGCCTTTCACATCTCCAAATTTGTCTAACTAACTTATCATTTCTACGGCTTCTTAAATAATTGGCTATGGATACAACTGTATTATCATAAGTCATCTCTAATTGCCTGAGTCCTCTACCTCCTTCTTTACGACTCACATATAGCCTGTCTACATCAGCTCTAGGATGCAGCTGTCCATGAATAGTAAGCATCTTCCTTGTTTTACGATCTAGGTCTGCAATTTCCTTCTGACTCCAATCTATGATTCCAAAACTGTATTCTACTATTAGAACAGCTATACTGTTGATGGCTAGTAGTTTATTTCGTGCTGTTAAGTCTGAACGTAGTACTATCCTAAGCCTTCTTAGATATTCTTACTGATGGTCTCTTTCATTTCATCATTACACAATTCTGGGTTTTCATAAACTCCAAGATATTTATAGCTTTCTCCAGCATCTAGTTTCTGATGGTAATATTTGCCTGGACTGTTATGTTTTCCGTTTTTTCCACTTTTCCGTTCTTTATTGTCGCTTTGGCGCACTTATCTAATCCGAAGTTCATATGAATTGTGCTACTGAAGTCGTGAACTATCTTAATTTGCTCTTCAAGCGCTGTGTCCGAACTCGCGTATAGCTTTAAATCATCCATGTACAGAAGATGTGTTGTTGGCTGCTCATCTTTGAGTAGTTTATATCCCAATTTTGGCTTTTGATTTAGCATTCTGGACAGGGGGTACATCATCATGCAGAACAGGAGAGGTGATAGTGAATCTCCTTGGAATATTCCAGATTCGATTTTAATCTGCCGGGTATTATTGATAGGTGCATCCTTAGATTGTATCTTTAGCTGGGTGTTCCATTCCTTCATACTTTTTTCACACAGATTGATGATGTTTGGGTCAATTTTGAATATCTTAAGTATTTTCAATATCCACTGGTGTGGTACGCTATCGTAAGCTTTTTGATAATCTATCCAGCATAATGATAGATTTTTCTTTTTACTGTGTACGTCCTTCATTATCTTTTTGTTATATAATAGTAGATCTTTACATCCGTATGAACCTTTGCAGCATCCTCGTTGCTCAGCTGGAATCAACTGTTGAGCTATTAGGTGGTCATATATACGAGACGACATTATCCCAGTTAGTAATTTGTACAGTACGGATAAACAAGTAATGGGTCTGTAATTTTCTGGCTTAGAAGGGTCTCCTTTCTTGTAAATAAGATACGTGATGCCACTATTCATCCACGTGGGCAGATCTTCTTCTCCTTTTAGTATTTTTGTTAAGATTATTATTATTATTATAATTAATATTATTATTATAAACTATTATTATAATTATTATTATTATTATTATGATTGTTATCATTATTATTATTATTATTATAGCTATTATTATTATGATTTTATAATAATTATTATTATTATAACTATTATTATTATTATTATAATTATTATTATTAGTATTATTATTATTATAATTATTATTATTATTGTTATGATTATTATTAATATTATTATCATTATTATTATTATAGCTATTATTATTATTATAATTATTACTATTATTATGTTCGCAGACGACACAACGTTATCAACAAGGGATCAGCAGGAGTTAAGCATTGATGGCTTGGAACAGGCAAAGAAGTGGTTCTCGGTGAACAAACTGAAGCTAAATGACGCCAAAACATTTTCTATCGTTTTGACAAGTGTCAACCTGCGTCTGATCCTGTCAAACTCCTAGGAGTTAAACTGGATACGGCACTTACTTGGTCACCGCACATTGATCTCGTCTGTTCCAGGTTATCCACGCAAATATTTGCAATCCGACGGATGAGTGAATATTGGATAAACGTATTCTAAAAACAGTTTACTTCAGCCTAATCCACAGTCAGTTGTCGTACGGTGCCCTCCTTTGGGGGAACGCTTCTGGATCTTTCAGAGCGTTCACACTCCAAAAGGCAGCTGTTCGCATAATTGATGGTTCGAAATACGGCACACCATGCCAACCACTTTTCAGAAAACATCGAATTTTACCACTACCAAGCATTTTTATATATGAAACGCTTTTACATATTCATAAAAACCTCCATAAATATGTAACGCATTCCGATGTTCATGATCATGATACCAGGTCAGCAAATAACCTCAGGGTTCCCTTTTTGTAGATTACGTTTATCCAAGTTGAACAAGCCGGATGTCACATTATACAATTTATTTGTGAACTGTTACGCAGAACATGATGTGAAAAATATGAATGTCTACAAATTCAATAGACTATTGAAGAACTTTCTCATAGACAAGTGTTTTTACAGTGTCGATGATTATATTAATTATGTAACTATATTTAAAATACAAAAATCTGTGACTTCAAATGTACAATAATGTATGTAATGTAGTCAATAAACTAAACTAAACTAAACTAAACTAAACTATTATTATTATTATTATAATTATTATTATTATTATGATTATTATTATTATAACTATTATTATTATTATAATTATTATTATTATTATTATTATTATTATCATTATAATTATCATAATTATTATTATTATTATTATTATTATAACTATTATTATTATTACTATTATTATTATAATTATAATTATAATTATTATTATTATTATTATTATTATGATTGTTATAATTATTATTATCATTATTATGATTATTATTATTAAATGATATAATAATAATTATTATTATTATAATTATTATTATTTTATACTATTTTACTCCTCTGTCGAAGGTATTAATATTTCCCTCAGGCGGTTAGCCAAAGTAAGGAAATAGATCTGCAGCGGTCTTTTCACCGTATCCGGTTCTCATCTCCTAAAACCCTACGTACTGTCCTACATGTTCCCAGCAGTGCAGCTTTTTGCAGTTGCAAGTATATTTTGGATGGAGCTGTAGCTTTTCCAGACTCTTGTGTAGTTTCCTTGGTATCTCTCCAGTAGCTCCTATTATACTTCGGCGTCCAGTCCAAAGATGTTTATTATTTCACCACGTAGTCCGCCCTGTCGTGCTACCAGCCACAAGGTTTTTAAAAGCAAAATCCCCCTCTGCTACGCCCGTGTTCCTGTATATGCCGCAGCTTTCCCCTTCTACAGTCATTTCGCCTTCTGTGCTCGACCAGCTCGCATCACACCGACAGCCAACCGTACCTTCAGGACGTAAGTAGCGTAAGTAAAATAATCATTTACTGGTTTACTTCTATCCCTCGTTTATATAACTAGATATGGGGAAGCAGAAACGACAGAAGCGCAGCAGAGAATCGTCTAGCAGCAGTTCAGACTCGGATATGGAGAGCCGAAAGCGACTTAAGAAATTAGAACGGTTTTATAAGAAATATAA